GAGTTTCCAAATCCACCCTGAAGGGCTCTGCTCTGTGAGTAGGAAGAATGACAAACAGGCTACAAAGAAGGAAGAGAATCTTCAGTGGGCTCACATGTAAATAGAGTATGTCTTACTTTTCCCACTGCTGAGATCAAACACCCAACCCCCAAAACTAAGGGAGCAAAGGGTTATTTTGCCTCACAGTTGCAAGCGTTTCAGTGCATGACGGGCTCCAAGGGAGGGTGGCGTGGCAGAGGGGCATCACAGAGAGAAACAGCCCACGGCAGGCAGAAGGCAGCAAAACCAGTAAGCAGCATGCAGTGAGTGACAACAGCAACCCTCTTTCTACGCCTGGTATTTTTATCCATGGCGGCAGCACTCACACACTTAATCCTAGCAGCACACCGTGAATCAAATCCCAGCATCATACTGTAGATCTTTCAGTGGCTGAAAAGTCCTACCTATGAGCACATGAGGCTTTGGGAAGCATGCAGAGAAAAGAAGAAAAGAATACTGGTTCATGATAGAGCTCTTCTGTCACAAGGTGGCACAAATCACAATGTGTTTGATATGGCAGGCAGCGAGAAACAGAGATATTTTAATCTTAATACATCTTGTACCATAAATGAAGTACCTCTCCAAAAGGAAAAGACAAACGTGAGCACTGAGATTTCACAGTAAAATATCTTTGGAAAGTGAAACAGTGTTTGCTAAAAGGAAAGCTTGAAGCTATCAGAATTTGTTGGAGAAACAGGAGCCTATGTAAATCCTGGGACGTGAGTGAGTGAAGAAATTTTAAAACATATGCAGTCCACGGAAAGAGTATGCGTATCACATAAAACACAAATGCATAATTAATAAGAGTGAGATGTACATACCTCAAGAGAAAACACCACATAGAAAACAAAAACCCAAACAAACAAACAAACAAACAAACAAAAAAAGAATATGTGCTGCTGAAGCAAGCATGCATCATTATGGGCTGGGGATTTAACTCAGCGGCAAAGCGCCTGCCTGGCAAGCACAAGGTCATGAGTTCGATTCCTGGTACTAGAGAAAAACCAAAAAA